CACACTGAGGTGCCAGGGGTCACCTTTGGGTCACCGGTGTCCCTTCACCCTTCCCAGGACATGGGCACAGCCCCGCATGTGGCACGTGTGACACGTGTGACACCCACGGCACGGCACGCCTCACACGTGTCACACGCGCCACTTTGGCATCAGGGACCCCCGGTGTCCCACCACGCTGTGCCACACCCGGTGCCGCGCGGTGTCCTGGCACCCTGAGCCGTGTCACCCCACGTCACCCGTGTCACCCGGTGCCGCTCCGTGCCGCGCTGCCAGGCTGGAATTTGTCCCCAGAGCCACTCCCTCCCTGCACATGGCCTTGGTGCCACCCCGGGCCACTCCCCGGGGGTGGCAGTGTCACCTGGAGGTGCCAGGCTGTCCCCACCCCCCCGTGCCACACGGTGCCACCCCAGGAGGGACCCGGGATTGTCACGCGGTGAGCGACACGTCCTGGGGCGGCACGGGGCGCGGTGACATCGCGCGGTGCCACGTGGCGTGTCACGACACGTCGCTACGTGTCACGGCGTGTGGCGACGTGTCCCCTGCGGCTCAGGGTGGCACTCGCCGCTGTCCCGTGGTCACCGGCCACCGGTGTCACCGTGTCCCCTTCGGTGCTCCGGTGCCAAAGTCCAACCATCCGGGTGGCACTGTGTGCCCGTGTCCCCACGTCCACCCCAGTGTCCATCCCAATGTCCCCATGTCCATCCCCGTGTCCATCCCCGTGTCCCCATGTCCCCGTGTCCATCCCAGTGTCCCCATGTCCATCCCCGCGTCCATCCCCGTGTCCCCACGTCCACCCCAGTGTCCCTGTGTCTCCCCCAATGTCCCCATGTCCATCCCCGCGTCCATCCCCGTGTCCCCACGTCCACCCCAGTGTCCCTGTGTCTCCCCCAATGTCCCCATGTCCATCCCCGCGTCCATCCCCGTGTCCCCACGTCCACCCCAGTGTCCCTGTGTCTCCCCCAATGTCCCCATGTCCATCCCCGCGTCCATCCCCGTGTCCCCACGTCCACCCCAGTGTCCCTGTGTCTCCCCCAATGTCCCCATGTCCATCCCCGCGTCCATCCCCGTGTCCCCACGTCCACCCCAGTGTCCCTGTGTCTCCCCCAATGTCCCCATGTCCATCCCCGCGTCCATCCCCGTGTCCCCACGTCCACCCCAGTGTCCCTGTGTCTCCCCCAATGTCCCCATGTCCATCCCCGCGTCCATCCCCGTGTCCCCACGTCCACCCCAGTGTCCCTGTGTCTCCCCCAATGTCCCCATGTCCATCCCCGCGTCCATCCCCGTGTCCCCACGTCCACCCCAGTGTCCCTGTGTCTCCCCCAATGTCCCCATGTCCATCCCCGCGTCCATCCCCGTGTCCCCACGTCCACCCCAGTGTCCCTGTGTCTCCCCCAATGTCCCCATGTCCATCCCCGCGTCCATCCCCGTGTCCCCACGTCCACCCCAGTGTCCCTGTGTCTCCCCCAATGTCCCCATGTCCATCCCCGCGTCCATCCCCGTGTCCCCACGTCCACCCCAGTGTCCCTGTGTCTCCCCCAATGTCCCCATGTCCATCCCCGCGTCCATCCCCGTGTCCCCACGTCCACCCCAGTGTCCCTGTGTCTCCCCCAATGTCCCCATGTCCATCCCCGCGTCCATCCCCGTGTCCCCACGTCCACCCCAGTGTCCCTGTGTCTCCCCCAATGTCCCCATGTCCATCCCCGCGTCCATCCCCGTGTCCCCACGTCCACCCCAGTGTCCCTGTGTCTCCCCCAATGTCCCCATGTCCATCCCCGCGTCCATCCCCGTGTCCCCACGTCCACCCCAGTGTCCCTGTGTCTCCCCCAATGTCCCCATGTCCATCCCCGCGTCCATCCCCGTGTCCCCACGTCCACCCCAGTGTCCCTGTGTCTCCCCCAATGTCCCCATGTCCATCCCCGCGTCCATCCCCGTGTCCCCACGTCCACCCCAGTGTCCCTGTGTCTCCCCCAATGTCCCCATGTCCATCCCACTGTCCCCACGTCCATCCCAGTGTCCCCAGTGTCCGTGTGTCCACCCAGTGTCCCCCCCGCTGTCCAGACTCCGGCCACCCCCGCCGTGTCCCCGCTGTCCCCGGTTTCGGGTCCCCTGGGGACAGGGGGACACGAGGACTTTGCCCCGTGACTGCGGCACCGCATCACTCCAGCCTAATTAGCCTAATTAGGGGTAATTAACCCTGACCTTCCCGGTGACGTCACAGGGGACAGCGGGGGGAGGGAGCCGGGCGGGGTTTTGGGGGGAAATCCGAGGATTTGGGGGTTTGGGGTGAAAAAAATCGCTTAAGTCGGGTTTAAACCCCTTAAACCAGACAGGAAAGCCCTTAAGTCAGGTCTAAACCATTTAAACTAGGTTTAAATCCTTTAAACCAGGTCTAAACCCCTTAAACCAGACAGAAAAGCCCTTAAGTCAGGTCTAAACCATTTAAACCAGGTTTAAATCCTTTGAACCAGGTCTAAACCCCTTAAACCAGACAGAAAAGCCCTTAAGTCAGGTCTAAACCATTTAAACTTGGTTTAAATCCTTTAAACCGGGTCTAAACCCCTTAAACCAGAGAGAAAAGCCCTTAAGTCAGGTATAAGCCATTTAAACTTGGTTTAAATCATTTAAACCAGGTCTAAACCCCTTAAACCAGATAGGAAAGCCCTTAAGTCAGGACTAAATCCTTTAACCCAGGTCTAAACCCCTTAGACCAGGTTTCCATCCCTTAAGCCAGGCCGAAATCCCTTAGTTTGGGTGTCAATCCCTTAAACCGGGCCTAAATCCCTCAATTTAAGCACCAGCGCCGCCTCCAGCCCCGACACAGCCGCCGCCATGGCGGGATCAACGCCGCAGCGTTGCCCGGCAACGCTGATGATTGACAGGCTGAGAAGCCAATCAGCGACGCCGAAACGTGGGCGTGAACGGAATTGACCAATAGAATGCGGACGTGCCACCGGAAGAGGAGGGACGCGAAGGAAAAGGGAATTCTGAGAAGGGAGATTTCTACGGCACAACGCCGTACGGCACCTTAGACACAGCTCTAATTAGGGCAAGAGTAATTAGGCCACTGGGTTAATTAGGCCTCGCAAGACGCGATGGTGTCGGACCGGTCGTAGAAAATGGCGGGGCCTCGCTCGCCACCGGGGAAAGGAGCGCCGTCCGCTCCTACGCCACCGTCTCCTACTAGGCCGCCATAGGAGGGATCAACATGGCGGCGTTGCCTGGCAACTGCTGTAACGGACGGTGTAAGAGACCAATCAGCGAGGAGCAGGCTGAGAGTGTGAGCCAATTGGTGTTTAAAGGAGGCGGGACAAGCGGAGAAAGGCATTGTGGGCAACGTAGTGTGGACCCTCAGAATGGGCACCGGGCCGCCATAGCGGGGATCAACATGGCGACGTCGCTTGGCAACTGGCATGATTGACAGCTCCAAAAGCCAATCAGCAAGGAAAAACAAGGGAGGTGGAGTGACAGAGCCAATGAAATGCCGAGCTTCGTCGGAAAGGGAGGGACCGGAGGAGTGTGTACGGAAAGAAACGAAAGCGCCGCGGAGCCGCCGGGACCGGACCGGGATCATCGGGATCGGAATTATCGGGATTGTCGGGATTATCGGGATCGGGATCGAGCAGGGGGCCCAGAGCCCTCCAGGCTCAGCCGGGGATGTTCCACGGCATCGCGGGCCCGGCCGGCATGGGCGGTGAGAGCCGGCAGCGATTCCCGGGATGGGATCGCCGGGATGATCCCGGAATTCCCGGGATGATCCCGGAATTCCCGGGATGGCATTCCCGGGTTTCCCTCCTTTTAACCCTTTCCTTCCTCCCACGGCAGCGCCCGGGAATAAACCGGAGCTTTATGAGGTGAGTGCGGCTCGGGAATGTCCGGAAATGGTCGGAAATGTCCGGAAATGGCCGAAAATGTCCGGAGATAGGCGGGAATTGACGGAAATGTCCGGAAATTATCGGAAATGGCCGAGGGTGTTCGGAAACGGCCGGGAATGAGCCCGGGGATTTTGGAGAATTTTTTGGGAATTTCGGGAATTTTTCGGGAATTTCCCGTCTCCTCTCCCCGCAGGAGGTGAAGCTCTACAAGAACGCCCGGGAACGGGAGAAGTTTAAACCAGGTCTAAACCCCTTAAACCAGAGAGAAAAGCACTTAAGTCAGGTCTAAACCATTTAAACCAGGTTTAAATCCTTTAACCCAGGTCTAAACCCCTTAGACCAGGTTTCCATCCCTTAAGCCAGGCCGAAATCCCTCAGTTTGGGTGTCAATCCCTTAAACCGGGCCTAAATCCCTCAATTTAAGCACCAGCGCCGCCTCCAGCCCTGACACAGCCGCCGCCATGGCGGGATCAACACCGCAGCGTTGCCCGGCAACGCTGATGATTGACAGGCTGAGAAGCCAATCATCGACGCCGAAACGTGGGCGTGAACGGAATTGACCAATAGAATGCGGACGTGCCACCGGAAGAGGAGGGACGCGAAGGAAAAGGGAATTCTGAGAAGGGAGATTTCTACGGCACAACGCCGTACGGCACCTTAGACACAGCTCTAATTAGGGCAAGAGTAATTAGGCCACTGGGTTAATTAGGCCTCGCAAGACGCGATGGTGTCGGACCGGTCGTAGAAAATGGCGGGGCCTCGCTCGCCACCGGGGAAAGGAGCGCCGTCCGCTCCTACGCCACCGTCTCCTACTAGGCCGCCATAGGAGGGATCAACATGGCGGCGTTGCCTGGCAACTGCTGTAACGGACGGTGTAAGAGACCAATCAGCGAGGAGCAGGCTGAGAGTGTGAGCCAATTGGTGTTTAAAGGAGGCGGGACAAGCGCAGAAAGGCATTGTGGGCAACGTAGTGTGGACCCTCAGAATGGGCACCGGGAGGCCATAGCGGGGATCAACATGGCGACGTCGCTTGGCAACCGGCATGATTGACAGCTCTAAAAGCCAATCAGCAAGGAAAAACAAGGGAGGTGGAGTGACAGAGCCAATGAAATGCCGAGCTTCGTCGGAAAGGGAGGGACCGGAGGAGTGTGTACGGAAAGAAACGAAAGCGCCGCGGAGCCGCCGGGACCGGACCGGGATCATCGGGATCGGAATTATCGGGATTGTCGGGATTATCGGGATCGGGATCGAGCAGGGGGCCCAGAGCCCTCCAGGCTCAGCCGGGGATGTTCCACGGCATCGCGGGCCCGGCCGGCATGGGCGGTGAGAGCCGGCAGCGATTCCCGGGATGGGATCGCCGGGATGATCCCGGAATTCCCGGGATGATCCCGGAATTCCCGGGATGGCATTCCCGGGTTTCCCTCCTTTTAACCCTTTCCTTCCTCCCACGGCAGCGCCCGGGAATAAACCGGAGCTTTATGAGGTGAGTGCGGCTCGGGAATGTCCGGAAATGGTCGGAAATGTCCGGAAATGGCCGAAAATGTCCGGAGATAGGCGGGAATTGACGGAAATGTCCGGAAATTATCGGAAATGGCCGAGGGTGTTCGGAAACGGCCGGGAATGAGCCCGGGGATTTTGGAGAATTTTTGGGAATTACGGGAATTTTTTGGGAATTTCCCGTCTCCTCTCCCCGCAGGAGGTGAAGCTCTACAAGAACGCCCGGGAACGGGAGAAGTGAGTGAGGGAGTGCCGGGAATTTTGGGGAATTTTTGGAGGGGGATGGAGGGGGTTGGGATTAATCCCAGTTGGTCCCAGTTCATCCCAGTCCCTCCCAGTCCCATCCCAGTTCCTCCCAGTCCCTCCCAGTCCCATCCCAGTTCCTCCCAGTCCCTCCCAGTCCCATCCCAGTTCCTCCCAGTCCCTCCCAGTCCCATCCCAGTTCCTCCCAGTCCCTCCCAGTCCCATCCCAGTTCCTCCCAGTCCCTCCCAGTCCCATCCCAGTTCCTCCCAGTCCCTCCCAGTCCCATCCCAGTTCCTCCCAGTCCCTCCCAGTCCCATCCCAGTTCCTCCCAGTCCCTCCCAGTCCCATCCCAGTTCCTCCCAGTCCCTCCCAGTCCCATCCCAGTTCCTCCCAGTCCCTCCCAGTCCCATCCCAGTTCCTCCCAGTCCCTCCCAGTCCCATCCCAGTTCCTCCCAGTCCCTCCCAGTCCCATCCCAGTTCCTCCCAGTCCCTCCCAGTCCCATCCCAGTTCCTCCCAGTCCCTCCCAGTCCCATCCCAGTTCCTCCCAGTCCCTCCCAGTCCCATCCCAGTTCCTCCCAGTCCCTCCCAGTCCCATCCCAGTTCCTCCCAGTCCCTCCCAGTCCCATCCCAGTTCCTCCCAGTCCCTCCCAGTCCCATCCCAGTTCCTCCCAGTCCCTCCCAGTCCCATCCCAGTTCCTCCCAGTCCCTCCCAGTCCCATCCCAGTTCCTCCCAGTCCCTCCCAGTCCCATCCCAGTTCCTCCCAGTCCCTCCCAGTCCCATCCCAGTTCCTCCCAGTCCCTCCCAGTCCCATCCCAGTTCCTCCCAGTCCCTCCCAGTCCCATCCCAGTTCCTCCCAGTCCCTCCCAGTCCCATCCCAGTTCCTCCCAGTCCCTCCCAGTCCCATCCCAGTTCCTCCCAGTCCCTCCCAGTCCCATCCCAGTTCCTCCCAGTCCCTCCCAGTCCCATCCCAGTTCCTCCCAGTCCCTCCCAGTCCCATCCCAGTTCCTCCCAGTCCCTCCCAGTCCCATCCCAGTTCCTCCCAGTCCCTCCCAGTCCCATCCCAGTTCCTCCCAGTCCCTCCCAGTCCCATCCCAGTTCCTCCCAGTCCCTCCCAGTCCCATCCCAGTTCCTCCCAGTCCCTCCCAGTCCCATCCCAGTTCCTCCCAGTCCCTCCCAGTCCCATCCCAGTTCCTCCCAGTCCCTCCCAGTCCCATCCCAGTTCCTCCCAGTCCCTCCCAGTCCCATCCCAGTTCCTCCCAGTCCCTCCCAGTCCCATCCCAGTTCCTCCCAGTCCCTCCCAGTCCCATCCCAGTTCCTCCCAGTCCCTCCCAGTCCCATCCCAGTTCCTCCCAGTCCCTCCCAGTCCCATCCCAGTTCCTCCCAGTCCCTCCCAGTCCCATCCCAGTTCCTCCCAGTCCCTCCCAGTCCCATCCCAGTTCCTCCCAGTCCCTCCCAGTCCCATCCCAGTTCCTCCCAGTCCCTCCCAGTCCCATCCCAGTTCCTCCCAGTCCCTCCCAGTCCCATCCCAGTTCCTCCCAGTCCCTCCCAGTCCCATCCCAGTTCCTCCCAGTCCCTCCCAGTCAATCCCAGTACGCTCAGGTACGACAACATGGCCGAGCTGTTCGCGGTGGTGAAGACGCTGCAGGCCCTGGAGAAGGCGTACATCAAGGACTGCGTCACCCCCAACGAGTGAGTGAGCGCCAAAACCTTCCCAAAAAATTCCCAAAAAAATCCCAGCCACCCCCGAGACCCCAAAGAACCAGAAATCCGCAAAAAAACCCCGGGAAAATCCGGGGAAATTCCGTGAAAATTTGGGAATTCTCAGGTACACGGCGGCGTGCTCGCGGCTGCTGGTGCAGTTCAAGGCGGCGCTGAAGCAGGTGCAGGGCGGGGAGATCGGCAACATCGACGACTTCTGCCGCAAATTCCGGGTGGGAATCCGGGAATTTTGGGAATTTTGGGAATTTCGGAAATTCTGGGTGGAGTTTTGAGGGATTTTGGGTGAAATTTGGGCGAAATTTGGGGGGAATTTTGGGAATTTTGGGAATTTCGGAAATTCTGGGTGGAGTTTTGAGGGATTTTGGGTGAAATTTGGGCGAAATTTGGGGGGAATTTTGGGAATTTTGGGAATTTCGGAAATTCTGGGTGGAGTTTTGAGGGATTTTGTTGAGTGGCGGAATGTAAGAATGTGGGGACTTGGGGAGGGAATTTTGGGTGGAATTTTGGGAATTTGGGATTCTGGGATTATGAATTTTGGGAATTTGGGATTCTGGGG